TTAGAAAATTTGGGATTCAAGGAATTCTTAATTCTTTCTGTTCGTTCAACCTAGAGTCACCGCAAAGAAACAAAAAGAAGAGAAGCTCTTTTGAGATCCAAGGCATACTTAGATTTTTAACATATTTATGTACTAAATATAATTATACATATATATGTAAATATAATTATACATAGACATGAAGACTGAAGGAAATTTCTTGTTTTAAAATTTTGCGTACATGTGCAGGTGCATGTGCTGTAGCATGTATATAAGTCAGAGAACAACCTGATGGAGTCAGTTTTCACCTACCAGGTATGTTCTGGGGCTCAAACTTGGGTGTCATGTTTGACAGCACACACTTTTACCTGATAAGCCATTTTTTATAATTATACATAGACATGAAGACTGAAGGAAATTTCTTGTTTTAAAATTTTGCGTACATGTGCAGGTGCATGTGCTGTAGCATGTATATAAGTCAGAGAACAACCTGATGGAGTCAGTTTTCACCTACCAGGTATGTTCTGGGGCTCAAACTTGGGTGTCATGTTTGACAGCACACACTTTTACCTGATAAGCCATTTTACTGGCCTATTTATTTATTTATTTATTTATTATTTCATTTACATATTTTTTTGAAATTTCTGTTTGTGTATGAAAACTTGTACTATCCAGGAGAAATGTCAACCCCCACCCCCAAAAAAACCTACATCAACAGGTAAGATGGTGCTGTTATTTTTAACATTTTAAATAAACTCAACATTGTCAAAGAGAAACTCAAACTCCGTTTTACCTAAATTATTTAATATTACCTCATACCACTGTTGGCCACTTGTGTTCAAAAATAACACACATAAAGGGTCCGACTTTGATGTTACATCTTTATCCAAAAGGTTGTCACAGGAAACATTCAACTCTACCTTCGTGACACACTGGGCAGCCATCTCTGGAGCTGTGAGCAAACCAATGAGGTGAGAAATAGAGCCTTTAAAAGCACATGCATTCCTAATAGAAACTGTTGAATTCTAAAGACAAACTGTCAGAAGAGCCTTACTGAGCAACTATGCTAGGATGAGACTGTTATTTGAGCCTCCTGAGGATTTAGGGATCTATTAGTTTATTCCTGAAATAATACTTTATTCCTCTACTGAGATAGACAAAACTTGTGACTTACAAAAAAATGCCACAGACCTCCCCTTCTTTAACCAAATAACATATAAAAAGGCCTGGGGATGGGGTAGAGCACTTGAGGGGGGCTGGCCTTAAGAAAGCATGCAGCACTGAGAAGGAGCTGCTTTCCTCCAGGGAAAGAAAGACTGCAGATGTCACCAAGAAGAGGAAAGAGGCACTGCAGTCCCCAACTAGGTGCCAACAGACCCAGCTGTCTAGGGTAGAGTGGGGTTTCCTGGTGGTAGAACAGGTTCTGCAGCTGGAATGGAACCTCCTCCCAAATGTCTTCCGCATGTGGAGTGCTCAGTGCTCTCCACTTTGAGATTCAGCTGAAACTCTAGGACAAGAACAAATCCTGCTTAATATTTAAAACGGCGTTATCTAAAACACCTAATCGAGTACAAGAAAAAAAGATTTCAAGAGCTCTTTAACAATTTCAAAAAACAACTTACATCTTTGAAAATTACTTTCTTCACATACAGTAGATGTATGTGTTCATGTGGATGTGTGCATATGTTACATGACAGTGACCCATGCATGTGTAGGCCAGAGATCAATGTTGAATGTCTTTTTCAATCACTTCCTCTTATTTTTGAGACATTAGACCTGGAGGTCATCCATTTGGATAGGCTGGCTGGCCATCCAATAAGTTTGGGGGATGAACCTATCTTTCTCTGCTCTCCACTCCCCAGGTTAGGGTTATAGATACTTTGTTTTCTTTTTTTTTTTTTTTTTGGTATTTTTGAGACAGGGTCTCCTGGTAGCCCCAGCTGGCCTGGAACTCAATATGTAGACCAGTCTGACCTTGAACTCAGAGATCTGCCTGCCTCTGCTGAGATAAAAGCATGCATCACCATGCCAGATTACAGACACTTGTTTACACTGGAACTGAAGATGTAAACTTAGGTTCTCATGCTTGCCCAGCAAGTGTTTAAGCATTTCTCCAGCTCCACTAATTACTTTCTAAAACTAGTAACAACCTTAAATACATGTTAAAAATTGATACTAGCACTTAAGATTCTTCAATTTATGGAAACAGAGAACAATGAGGCTGGTCTTAGCATTGGACAGAAATTCCTTTTAGAAGCACTGCTATGTACTTCTACCTTTATCTGGCAACTATTACTTAATAAATGGCAAAGTCCTCTGAATCTCCAATTTGCTTCTTCAATTCTCTCCCCAAAAATATTGCAGTTAAATTAAAACTACCATATCCTTTACAAAAGTTTTGCGTTGATACTCTAGGTTTGTTTCTTTGTCATTTTAACATGCATCAGAATAGGTAAAGTACTAAAGTACATAGATTGCTAAGTACAAAAAAATACAAAGGGCAAGGAAAAGCCAGTGACGCTGCAGAACTGACAGTGAGGGAGAGGCTTACACTGCCTGGGCTTTCAAAGACTCAATTTGAACAGGACTGTCAGATGGCACAAACACAAGAAAGAGCAGGATACAAGGAAGTAAGGACATCACATCGTGTTCCAAAAGTGAACTAACTATGTGTTGAAAGGCAAAGCTGTACAGGAGATGGAGCAAGTTTAGAGTAAATTCCAGATGGTCAGCCTGGAGACCCAGGCAGATGAATGAAAATTTGTTCTTTCAATATCAGGGGGCATTTGTATTTATTTATTCATATAGTAATAACTTATTTTCACCTTTACCTTAATTTGTGAAAAAAAATTAAAGTCCTTAAAAGAAACAAGAGGGAAAAAAAAGTGGTAGGAAAAGAGAAAAGCAACAACACACAAAAACACAGTAATGTGAAGCTATCCACAGGAATGAAGTCCCACACCAGTACCTTGCCGTATCTCATCTGCCTTATTCTCCTCTTCACCACTGACTAGTACTTCTCTTCCTCTTCCCATTAGGAAAACCAAGCATAAATTAAGGGTGAATTAAGGGTGTTAGCTTAGGGTCTTCACATTTGCCTCATTTTTAGCCTGTCTCAAAGTTTCAGGCAGCTGGCCAATATACAGTACTCCCTAAATCTGTATCCCTCACCTATGCCCCCAATAAGCAATTTTTCTTTTCTTCTTTTTCATGTTTATTATATTCAGCCCTGAAGTACTATACCACATATCACAGGCTCCAGAATCAGACTACCTGGAGTTCTCATCTGAATTCTAACCCTAAAACCTATGTGATTCTAGGCAAGATCCTGTTTCCTCATCCATAATGTAAACAGTTGTCCCAACCTGTTTAAGGAGCGTCGGTAAGTACCCAAATGTTCACTGTTACTACTGATTCAGCACTACTTGCATCCATGGTGGAATCCTTTCTTACTTATCCCATTTTTCTATTTGGTGGGTTTGTGTGTGTATGTGTGTTTGTTTATTTGTTTGTTTGTGTTTGTTTTGAAACTGGGTTTCACAATGTAGCCATGGCTGACCTGGAACTTGCTATGTAGACCAGGATGAGGAGAACTCAACAGAGAATACAGATATCTATATACAAAATTGGCCTCACATCTCTTTACTCATACAAAAGCTACAAATACATCATGCCAGGCATGGCAAATTATTTTACAAATTGTTGACAGTTTCATCACTGCATTATGGCCAGAAGGCCAGTGACCCTAAGAGCAGCACTTTCACCACCACCCCCACCCCCAGCTCCCTACTCCACAAAATGACTCTGACTACAGCCTCCATTTTACCTAGGAAACCCATCATGGCTAAATGGCAAATGGAGGAAAACAATATGTGGATCTAGAACCTTGTTAACAGGAATATTCATGAAAATGCTCTTTTATTTTCCTTTCCAGTAATTATTAAATACAGAGGTGTGGGGTTTTTGTTTTCTTTTAAATAAGGTAATTCATGTACACACTATGATGAGAGAAAAAAAAACTAACGTTCTACAGAAACAAATGTTTCTTTGCACATAGAAAACACGTGATTTGTCTGGAATAAGCGATCAACAGAAGAATATATGAGCAACTAAAGGAGATTTATGTGTTTTCACTCCCTAAAAAAGAGGCTTTCCGAGAGACTACCAAGGTAGTCACTAGGATTAGGTTAAAATACTTATGAACTGCAAAGAACCCCTAAAAATACTAAACATCAACCATTCTCCCCATAACCTAACTTTCTGATTCAACATTATAACACAGATTATGCAAATCAATTGAAAATTAAGACCTACTGCTTGAAGTAAAGACTGGCATGTGAAATTTTCAGAGTATAAGGTCTTTCCCATGCCCTGGCTGAAAATCTTGTATGTCGGTTTTTGTAATAAACAGTTTAAGGGAGGATTTACTTTCTTTCTGTAATTGTTTCCATTTGCCAGGCAGCCCTGGCAAATGGATAGGTCTGCTATTAGACCATAGTAAACAAAAATAAAGGCCTTGGTCCATGGTCCCTTACCCCCATTCCTTTGGGCTTGAGGTGAGGCAGAACGTCACAGTGGCAGCAACTCATGGTGAAGGGGCTGCTGACTCGGAGTAGGCAGGAGGCAGAGAGAATAATGCCATGCTATCTGGCCTACTCCTCCTTCCCCATTTATTACGCTGGGTCCCTGGTCTCTTGGGTGCTGCTACCTACATTCAGGGTGAGTCATCCCCCTTCTAATCCTCTCTGGAAATGCCCTAAACCACTCAGAAATGTGCTTTACTAATATTCTGGGTATTCTCAGTACATAGTGAATTTGAAGACAGCATGGGCTACATTATACACTGTTTCAAAAAAACCAAAGCCAATCAATCAAATAAACCTAACAACAATAACAACAACAACAACAACAACAACAACAACAAAAAACGAGTTCCTTCAAAAAGGTTAAATTAGGGCTGGGAATGTAGCACAGTTGGTAGGGTCCCTGCATAGCATACATGAGGCCCTGGGTTCAATTCCCAGTGCCACATAAAACAAGGCACAGTGGCACATGCCTGTAAGCCAGCACTCAGGAGGTAGAAGCAGGAGGAACAAAAGTTCAAGGTTATCCTTGGCTACAGAAGAATTTCAGGCCAGCCTGGGCTACATAGAACCTGACCACCCACCCCCACACACACATAAAGGTTAATTACCCAAGGTTACCAAGCTAATAAACGTCAACACCAAAGCTACAACCCAGATTTTTTTTTTCCTCCTCACGACAAAATTCTCCTCCCAGGGCACTAAAACCTCTAATTAATATTTGCTTAGTATAATAGTAATATTCTTTAATTCGATTCTGTTGTTAGTATATCAAATAAAATAATTATCCTGACACAAATTAATAATGAAATGGGATCTTAAATTTAAGAAGTTAATGGTTGGGTTATAATTGCTATTATCTTTCTTAAACAACTGTAACCAGAATAACAGTTTGCTAAAGGAGTAGAAGAATTGGAATGGTATATATTTATCTAGCAGTTCCTCTTGCTTAATGCTAAGAAAAGCTTTACTCCATTTAGGAAATCTCCACATGCACAGGTCTACCATGCAGGTACAGCTGAACCATCTTAAAGCAGCAACATTTATTTTTAGGAATTGTGTTAGCTTTTTGTCACTGTGACAAAATACCTGAGAAAATCAACTTAAAGAAGGGAGGGAACTGGCTCATGGTTTCACAGCTTTCAGTCAATGGCTGACTGTTCTTGTAGTTTGGGAATATATCCTGAGGCAGCCCATCAAGCTGGAAACAACTAGTAGAGGAATGCTGCCAGGCAGCAAAGAGAGAAAGCTTGCTTTTCCAACAAAGCCTCTTTAAAGTGAGAAGATAACTCAACTGATAAAGTGCTTGCCATGCAAGCATGAAGACATAAGTACCTCAGTTCCATCCCCAGAAAGCACCTGAAAAAGC